ATATGAATGTTATCTTATTTTCATTTAAAGGGAGTGACCGGCTATGAAAGGTAGTTGAACTGAGTATGCAGTGTTGTGGAAAACTTCTTTCGGATTCATTTAAGACATATTAAACTTTTTAAAAATCGGTAGTCCTGAGTTTGAGCGCAAATTCGACGTTAAAAATTCCTACTTTGGGGGTGGATACGTTTTTAGAATTATTTAAAAAAAAATCAAAATCCCGATTTTAAACCTGTTTTTTTGTATGTATGATAATAAGAATACTATACTATTAACTAACCATCACTAAAAGATATTTTCTAAAAATCGAAAATTCATTTATGTCTTTTAGGAATCATAAGCAATAAATTTTCCATATCACCCAATATTGATTGTATATACTATTAAGTTTAGTTATGATTATTATAATTGCAATACATACCAAGTCCTACTTCGAGTTTAAACATAATTAATATTGATTGCAGCATTCCAAGAAAACCATAATTTAATTTCAAGACTTAGACTATAGTTAATAACAGTATTATACTTTTTACCATAACTAGACTTTAAAGGGAGTGACCGGCGATGTATGGTAGTTAAACTGAGAATATAGTATTAAATATTTTAGGGTTCATTTGAAACATATAAAACGTTTTAATGATGTATAATTACTGAGTTTTGGCGCAAAGTCGACGTTCAAAGTCTTCCATTTGGATGGTTATGCTTTGAGAATCGATTTTAAAATATTATTAAATAACGACGACAAAAAAAATTTGTCAATAAATCAAAAACAGAATCAATTATTTCGTTTTCATCATTATATTGAATTTCTTTTTCTTTCCGAATTTGTTCATTTACTTCTTCCAAAAAAAGTTCAGGAAATCTACAGAAAACGCTTGTGAATAATGAGACATTACAGAAACAAATAACTAATAAGATTACTTATTTTCGATGTAACAAAATTTTTAGTCGTCTTTATTTAAGAATTTTAAAAAATCGACTTAAAACGTAACTATCCAAATGGATGATATTGAACGTCGACTTTGCACTGAAACTAAGTAATTATACATCACTAAAACGTTTTATATATCTCAAATGAATCCTAAAAATTCCTCCACAATACTACATTCTCAGTTTAACTACCATACATTGCCGGTATAAGAAAGTTTAAAGAATAGAAAGTGTACTGCACCCTGCGGCCTGTGTACTCTTCTCTAAGTTTGCTGATTTCTATCCAACTATTTTCTACAAATAAAACAAATAATTGGTCAAAGATTCTTTATTGCACATCCAAACTAATGTCTTCGATTTGGAGAGTTAACATTATATGGAATCTATTAAAAATGGTTTGAAACTGAGAAACTTGGTTTTACAACGTTTAGGGAAAAAAAACTTAATGGATGGCAAAATTTCACAGCCTCTAGATAAAAACATTGCAGTACAGAGAAGTTTACTGTTCACTTTAAAGGACGTTTATGTACAATGTACATAGAAATAGTTTGAAATCCCCATGCGAGATTCATTTATTGATAAGTGGCATTTAAGGCCATAATACGCTGGGAGAAAACATTTTGAAATATTAGTAAAATAATTTATCAAGGTTTGGTATTAAAAGCAGTATAAAAATACAAATTCGTTGTAAAATCACCTTAAAAAAACATTTCCATTATAAAAATACAAATGTTCCACCTTCTACTTTAACTATATATGTACACTGTACAGTGTACATGACCTTTAAACCAAACTTTTACAAAACATAAACAGCATGATAAAACAACGAATAAAAACTAATGTACTGTACATGAACCAATTGATACAACTGAACTACGTACAGTACATGCTATGGTACAAATGACACTCTGTGCAAATGTAGATTAGTACAAAAATTGAAAATATAATGTTAAGGCGATACATAAACTTAAATACATTGCACAGAGAACTAAATTTTACAAAATATTGTCGGCATATAGCATAGTTAGTACTATAAAGTGTGTACAACACTGTACATGGGTAGATATATAACAGAATGGGGTCTATAGAAAATGCTGTATGAAATTTTAATAAAACTAAGAGCTCGTATGCCAAGAATCGGTCTCTTTTTAATTAATTTAACGAGATCTTCAAAGAAATCCGTCCTATCTGAGCTTTACAGTGCTGAGTCCGATCTAGTCAGTAATCAGGGTCAGCTGTTTGTTCAAACTCACGTGGACGGAATATCACGTGACGACAAAACCGGTTCCAGCGCAAGTTAACTGGATCCGCCCTGGTTCCAAATGTTCATCACGGATTTTCTTTGTCCCGTAGAACCCTGATTCCAGCCGCTGTTGTTCCACGATGACGCGCCGTTAGCGTTCCATCCGGAATTTGTCGTTCCAAACAATCTGCAAAATAGTTTTCATAATTAATTGAATTGTGACATTGTCTTTTGCCTAAAAATCAATAATGTTTTCAAGACTAGAAAAGAAAAAAGTATGAATGATCATTTTGTATAGTGCATTCATGCTGACATTTATATATTTCCTTATTTCATAACTTTTATTAACTATAACTAGTACAATTTTCAGTTAAACATCATTTTGCCTGAGCACTTTCAAAATTAAAATTAATTTTTGAACCAGAATTACAAGAATATTTTATTTATATCGAATATCAAAATAATGCCAATAATTTCTGAGTAATTTCTTGAATGATATAAATCCTTGAATTTTGATAGCACTGACAACCTGTTATCAAGATAAGAATTGAAAACTGAACCTTATTCTACACTTTTTAAATTGTTCCTAAGTTCAGTAGTCGGCCATATAATGTGGGCTTTCAAATATTTAAAATTGAGATATCAATAATGACAAATAAGCCTTTGTCAATTATTATCATAATTTAAAAAAAATCAAATTGCGACCACTGATTATCAGTTTTATGATAAAAACTGTAATGAAACGTGATTATAGTATTTAGAGTGATGATGTACGCTAATCCATTACTAATTGTACAGGCCAAGTACTCACTGCGAAAGCGTACTGCATATTTCATGTTTGTACTGTATGATTAGGTCATAATCTCCTTACATCCATTATCAGTATTCAACATGAAGTACACAAGGAGAAACATAATATTTACCTAACATGAAGTACACAAGGAGAAACATAATATTTACCTAACATGAAGTACACAAGGAGAAATCTTAACTTTTTAGAAAAACATGTTGACAATAATTTTTCTATTCCTTCGGAATAGTTTTGTATACGTGCCTGTCAAGCATTCGTTTTTACTTTTTATTTGTTTTGAAACATAAATCTTGTTGTGTATACTTCCACATAATTCTTGTGCATACTTTCACATAAATCTTGTTGTGTATACTTCCACATAATTCTTGTGTATACTTTCACATAAATCTTGTGTATACTTTCACATAAATCTTTTTGTATACTTTCACATAAATCTTTTGTATACTTTCACATAAATCTTGTGTATACTTTCACAGAAATCTTGTGTTTACTTTGCCATAAATCTTTCGTATACTTTCACACAAATCTTGAGTATACTTTTACTGAAATCTTGCATATACTTTCACATAAATCTTGTGTATACTTTCACAGAAATATTGTTAAGTTGTGTATACTTTCACATAAATCTTGTGTATACTTTAACAGAAATCTTGTGTATACTTTCACAGAAATCTTGTGTATACTTTCGCAGAAAAATTATGAATTTCTAATCAAATCTCGGATTTCTTGATGAAAGAATGGTTTAGTACTTAGTAGTCTCTTTTTCATTATTTTGGATTAATACAGGGAGAACTAAAAAAACTGTGGAATAGGGAGACGAGTACGACCTTTAGATTCATGCTAAGATTTTAAACAGTCCCACATACACAGCATATTTGCCAATTTTTACAAACCATTATTTCACTTAATAAGTGATTTAAAAAACAACTGCAGTTCTTAAAAACATCAAATACACCTAATTATTGCTTTCATGTCGTCTTCCTGTTCCAAATGTCTGGTTTTCACTGTAGCTTACATGATAGTAGGGTAGGTATAGGCCATAAATGACTGTTAATTTTTTAATCAATTTTATGACATTTCGCGCCGAAACTGTAAAGGCAAAAATACGCAAAAACTGAGAATTATTCAGAATTAAGAGCCGACATGACTATTGTCTTTGATTTGCCCCTGGTCAAATATTTATGCCCCTGATCAAATATTTATGCCCCTGATTAAATATTATAGCCCGTGGTCAAATATTTATGCCCCTGGTCAAATCTTTATGCCCCTGTTCAAATTTTTATGGCCCTGGTCAAATATTTATGCCCCTGATTAAATATTTATGCCCCTGTTCAAATAACATAACCAATAAATCTCATAATCCTTCATTCATAATCTATATTCCAGATCTGGCCAGAAACATTTATATTCCAGATCTGGCCAGAAACATTTGGCAAAATTTAGTTTCTTAGTATTTTACTTAATTAAGTTCAATTCAGATGTTTCAAGGAAAGGTCTCATTTCATTTTTAGTTTTGAAAACTTAAACTTATAAAAGATGATCTTGAGTATTGGGGGAAGAAAACTTAAATATCTAAAAATGAAAAGAAGCTTTAAAAAGAAATATTTAAAGAAAAATAAATGAATGAATAGGTTTCTTTGTAATTCAGAAAAATTTGAGAAGCAGCTGTATGCTATATATAATATATATACACACTATCACTTTATACTTCGCTATAAATACATAATATTTATCACTATATACATTACAATACTAGTATTGGTATATTAGTATATTATAATATACATAGTTACAAGACTGTCCGAGCAGAAAAGAAAGGATATATATATCTTTATATTTGCTTTGTATTTTTGGATCCAATAAACGTCGCAACGGGACTTGAGGAAACTAGGACTTTTATTCTTTCATTTTTTAGAATTTTTTTCCTTTTTCATCCCTAGATGAATTGTTGGACAATGTACATGTACATGTACTTGCATGTACCGCATGTACTACATGTAATCTATGAATTCCTACCTGTGTATAGTCTCCACCTCCTCCATGAGTCCCTTGATCTTGTCGATCACGTTCATCCTGTACGAGTCGTCAACATCTAGAATAAATATTTGTTCTGCCCCGGGGTCCTTTAAAAATTCTTTAACCTAAAAAGAGGTAAAAATTCTGTAATCAGTAGATGTGGTTTAATTCATTTTTAGACGTTTCCAATTAACAAGTTTTATACATCGTTAAAATTTAGTTTCAAAATAGCTCAACTCCCCTCACACCTCCCACCCCCACACTCTTTCTCTTTTAAACAATA